TCAACATCATCTACTCTACTGATGATTCCCTATAAATGATTCTTCATTTCAGTTGGTGTATCTGTCATTTCTGACTAGTTCTTTTTTTTGTGGTGTCCATGTCCTTTTTTATGCTGTTGAAGTTCTCACTACATTCACTAACAACCATCCTTGTGTTTTAAACTTTGCATCTAGTAGATTACTTGTCTCTATTTTGTTTATTTATTTTTCTGGAGTTTTGTTCTGTACTTTCATTGGGACATGTTCTTTGTCTACTCAATTTGGCAGCCTCCTGTGTTTCTTTCTATGTGTTAGGTAGAGCTTCTATGTTTCTCGGACTTGGTAGAGTGGCCTTATGTAGTAGATGTCCTGTGGGGTCCAGTGGCACAGCCTTCCTGATCACCCAGCTTGGGCACTCCAGATGTGCCCCACCCCATGTGGACTGTTGCAGTTAGCCTTGATTGCTGTTGGCACATCAGTGAGAGGTATTTACCCCCAGGCCAATCAGCTGCAAGAACTGGGTGTGACCACTAACCACTGTGGTGTATCAGCTGTGCAGAGGCCCAACCCACAGAGCAGGACTTACTTCAGCAGGGCTCTGGTGCTTGTTGAGTCCTCCTCTTGAGTGTGCCACTTGTGGAAGTGGTTGGGTGGTGATGCTTCAACTTGGCCTGAGGCTGTCCACTGGGTGTACTGGCTCTGTGGCCTCCTGGGAGGTGCATATCAAGGCCTGTATTCTTCCCAAGGCCAGGTGGCATAAGCTACAGAGCAGTCTGCTGATGGCTCTATTGTGCTGGGCTTGGAGGTGCCCAGGAGAGGCCCAGCTATGAACCAAGGCTGGCTGCCACTAGTGCTGGGCTGAGGTCCACTTAGTGAGGGGTATGGGGCATACTGAGGCCAAATCCTTCTGGTCTGAGAAATTTTAGAAAAGTCTAAAGTATGAGCCAAGGTAGGCCATTTGTATGGAAAAGTCACTGGAAACAGCATGGGTGAACCTACAAATTGGATGGGACAGTGTTTACTGGGAGATTCAAATATAGCACCCATCTGCCAGCTGTGTGTGGGGACGGGTCTTAGAAAAGGAACAATGGCCTCTGCCAGCACTTTTGTCTGACAGAAAGCTACACCCCACCCCTCACCCCTCTAGCTCTTGCCCTGATGGCAGACAATTCAGTTCCTCCCATATGTCCCTGGTGCCTTTTGAGCTGCTGCCTCTGTACTGGAACTCAGAGGGAATGAGTCCAAATCTGTGCACAGGCTCTTTAAGAGGAAATTCTTAGGACTCCAGAAGCCTTCATCTTTCTCAACCTCAATCCCTGCTGGTGTTTATAGCCCTAAGTTATGGGGACATCTCTTCCTGGCACTGGAACTGTGGGAGGGGGTCCTGGTGTGGGGCTGGGACCCCTCGCTCCTCAGGGGGAATCTCTGCAGCAGAGATATCCCTCCTGATTTTTATCTACTACATGTGGGCGTGGGACGGTGCCATTCCACATCTCCATCCCTTCTACCAATGTTGATGTTGCTTCTTTAATTCCCTAGTTGTAGGACTTTCATTCAGCTAGATTTCAGGCAGTTCTATGATGGTTGTTCTGTAGTTTAGTTGTAATTTTGATGTGGTTATGAGAGGATTAAAGAACCACATTTACTTGTGCTGCCATCTTAAGTGGAATTTTTTCTTTTCTTTTTATTTAAAGAGTGGCACTTCTCTATTTAGTAGTTTGATAAGAAATCTTTCTTTTGTTTTCCAGTAGGTGGCACTAAAGCACAAGCTTTTAAGTTTTTCTTGCACTACTCAGGCTTCCTGGATCTCTGCAGGATGGAAGAAAATGCTCTGTTTTCCCCTGGGAGTGGGCCAGGTCTCCTCAGTTTCAGGGCTCCACCTGTGCAGGGGATGTGGTGGGCAATGTGGCTCCAAGCTTGTGAAATCCTAGTGCTATGTGTGGGGATGGGGTAAGCTGGGAGAGGCTTGTTGTTGCATTTGTGGATTTGTTCTCCTCCCAGTAATGGCTACAGGACCTCAGCTGCTTCACCTTTGTATCTTCATCCAATCATTGCAATCAACCACGGCATGCTGCTCAGGGTAAAACGCTTCTGCCTCTCCAGTTCTCAGGGCTGCAGCTATCATGCTCTGTAGCTCAACACACACTGCTGGTACAGCTCCTTCTGGGCCTGCTGCTAGCTCTGGATGGGTGAAGGGAGACAGCAGGACTCTGGGGCTTTATTCTTCTGCCTGATCATGGCAGCCACCAGACAACCATGACTGCACCTGTACATTCCATCTCTGCCCAGGTCACGGGGTTCAGGTGCAGTGCATACCAATTCCTCCAACAGGAATGCTTAACTCACTGTGCCTCTCTGCTCCTCCCAGTATAGGCAGTGCAGACAGCCACCTAATACTTCCTTCTCCCAGGACCTGCAGTGAGTTCTGGGCTGTGTCTGTGGCACCCATCTGTGCTCTCCTCCCTCCCCACTTCCCCTGCTCCCTCTGACCTGCCCAACTTTAGATGTTTCAATGTGTGGGCCTCTCAAATGTGTTTGTGTTTTGAGCAGGGCATCTTTTTTCGGATTATTGCTGTTCAAATTTTTGTGACTTCAATGGGAGAGACCAGGGGAACTTCTCATGCTATTATTTCTCTGATGTCACTCCCCTGTTCTTTTATGTTTTAAGTTTCCCATGCTCTGAACTCAAATATAATGTTTTTCTTAATTTTATTGATTATGCCATTATAGTTGTTCTATTCCCCCTTTCATTCCCCTCTACCCTAAACCCCCTGCCCCCACCATTCCCCCCTTTAGTTTATGACCATGTGTCTCAAGTTCTTTAGATTCTGTATTTCCCATACTATTCTTGCCCCCCCATCTATTTTCTATCTACTGTCTATGCTACTTATTTTCTGTACCTTCTCCCCCCTTCTCCTTCTCCCACTTCCCTTTTGCTAACCCTCCATGAGATCTTCATTTCTATGTTTCCGCTCCTGATTTAGCTGTCCTCTTAGTTTGCTTTTGTTTTAGGTGTGGTTCTTAATAACTGTGAGTTTGCTGTCCTTTCACTGTTCATCTTTTTTATCTTCTTCTTCTTAGGTAAGTCCCTTTAACATTTCACATAATAAGGGCTTGGTGATGATGAACTCCTTGAATTTGATCTTATCCGAGAAGCACTTTATCTGTTCTTCCATTCTAAATGAAAGTTTTGCTGGATAGAGCAATCTTGGTTGTAGGTCTTTGGATTTCATGACTTGGAATACCTCTTTCCAGCCCCTCCTTGCCTGTAAGGTCTCTTCTGAAAAATCTGCTGACAGTCTGATGGGAACTCCTTTGTAGGTGACTGTCCCCTTATCACTTACTGCCTCTAGGATTCTCTCCTTCATTTTAATCTTGGCTAATGTAATAATGATGTGCCTTGGTGTGTTCCTTCTTGGGTCCAACTTCTTTGGGACTCTCTGAGCTTCTTGGATTTCCTGGAAGTCTATTTCCTTTGCCAGTTTGGGGAAATTCTCCTTTATTATTTGTTCAAATAAGTTTTCCACTGGTGGCTGTTCCTTTCCCCCTTCTGGTACCCCTATAATTTGGATGTTGGGGCATTTAAAGATGTCCTGGAGGTTCCTAAGCCTCTCCTCATTTTTTTGAATTCTTGTTTCTTCATATTTTTCTGTTTGGTCACTTTTTTCTTCCTTCTGGTCCACTCCCTTGATTTGAATCCCATTTCTTTTCCATCACTATTGGTTTCCTGTGCATTTCCCTTCATTGCAACTAGTTTAGCTTTCATGTGTTCCTCAAATTTGTGACTAAAATCAACCAGTTCTGTAAGCATCCTAATCACCAGTGTTTTGAACTGTGCATCTGAAAGTTTTGCTATTTCTTCATTGCTTAGAGTTATGGGCTCCGGGGGTTTGAGTTCTTCTTGAGCCATTTTTGGTCTGTTTGTGCCTGTTAAGTATGAGGAGAGGAGCCTTAGATGTTCACCAGGGCGGGGCCACCCAGGTCGCTGGTTTGTGACGCTGTATGTGGGGGCAGGGTCAAAGAGGGGCAATGGTGGTCCCCTCTGCTGCTTCCCGCCACTGGGGCCTGCATGGTCTGTCTGCTCACTCCTTCGCTGGTTTATCTGCGCGGGAATGTGTGACCGCAGTCAGCCTGCCGCCTTGCGTGCTCACTGGGTCTGCCCGTCGCTCACTGGGTCTGCCCGTCGCTCACTGAGTCTGCCTGTTGCAACCTCACACCTGGGATCTGCCATCCCCGCCTGTCCGCTCACCTGGGTTGGTCTGTCCAAGTTTTCCTGTGCAACCCCACTCCGCCAGTTGCTGGCTCTCCCCCTCTTACTGGTCTGGCTGAAGAATTCATTGTTGTCAGACTTCTGAATAGTTCAATTTTCTGTGTTTTGGCTGCGTTTTCTGTTACTAAAATTTTGTTGTCTTTAAACTTGGTTGTGTGAGAAAGCACAGTGTTTCCACCTATGCCTCTGTCTTGGTGGAAGTCTCTCAAATATAATGTTTAAAACACCTTTTCTCTTTCTCAAAAGGAGAGTAACACTGACGAAGTTCACAGTTCCAGTGGCCACAGCCATTTAAGCTACTCAGACTGGCCTTTATGTAACGACTATCCCACCTTCCCATAGAACAATGTGCCCCACACCTGTGAGGGACCTGCAGGGTTGGTTCCAGACTCATCCCATGAATATCACACCAAGACAGCCCCAGAACATACGCCACCTGGCCTGGATGTCACATACTCATGATAACAGAGGAACAACCACAAGGACAGAGGGAACCACAACATTCCACGTGACCTTTATTTTCTTGTCTATCTCCCCACTAGATACAAACTCCCATGGGCAGGATGTCTTTACCTAAAACAGGTCCTGGCCCAGAGTAAGTGCTCAATACACATCTGACAAGGAAGGGACCCATCCATCACTGAAGTGCTTCCACACAGCCAAGATGAATGGCCTGCCCGGGTCCCTTCAGCCTAGATTACTCCAACCAGGGCCCTTTGAACATGAGCCCTCTGACTGGGATGCCTCCTACCTGGGTGGCTCCTTAGGCGGCTCTCAGCAAGCTCAGAGATGGTTCCAGCTGTGGAAGTCTTTTTCAGTCGAACTACCCCGGAAGTGGTAGTACTTCCTGGTTTGTTGAGCATGTCCTCACTACTGGCCCTCTTGAGCTAAAAGAGAGATGGAAGAAAAAAGAGAGGATGAAGAGATGCACCTTCAGTGTGGAGAACTACAGACTATGTGAGTGACTGAGCAGTCCCGTCTGCCTGGGGGCTAGATGCAGCAATAGCTCTTGGAGGAGCATGGCCTGTGTGATCACAGACAGGTCTGAAAATGATCTTCCATCATCATTTCAAAGACTACTGTAAGTTCATGGGTGACTATTACACATCATGTCACACTTTAAATAAATAATCAATTTTTTAAAGCCCTGCTTTCCTGGAAAATTTTTTTTAGAAGAGTGGGAGCTGATGAAAAAAAGAACTTTGACATGTGCAAAAGTCAGGAAGGACATGGCAATGCACCAAAAAAATTCAAGGATAAGAGAATTAACTTAAATATATGTCTGGAGGAAGCAAATGGAAGAGGTAGAGAATACCTGAATATCCACCCTATGCTCAGCCAAGTGCTCTGTATATGATCTCACACAGACAATGTGTTCAAAGGGAAGAATGAACCGTTCTCAAGGCCAGGGAACACTGCTCATGAATGACAGCGAGCAGAACACCCTAACTCCTTTTCTGCTTTATTGTCTTTCATGAAAAGGGAGAACAAACATTTGTTGAAAGAAACTGAAGTTTAAGTGGGGGACACCCATTAAGCAACTCTGGCCTGAACAGGAGAGAGTCGGTGGGGCACTGGAGAGAGCACAGTCAGAGCCTGCAGCTCCTCAGAAAAAGTTCTCCCTGTTGACAACTGTATTGGTATCTCAACTGTGGGACTTATGCTGATGCTAGAATCTTACATAACTTTATGCACCCGGAGTGTTGGATTCCAGATTTGTATTTGACAGATCTCTTCCTGTGTCCTGTCTTTATCTCTAATTGGAAGCAAGAACTAGATACCAATGCAAAGAAAAGGCTGAAGACCACACGGTGTCACTCTGCTTATTGCTCATTATGATAATATGGGTCCCCACATTTTCCAAGTCTTCCAATCTACTAACTATTTTGACTGCAGAACTATGTCCACTAGAGCCAATGCTTGCTTGGACAGATATGTATCTGAGTCTATGGAGTACAGTTTGAATGAACTGGTTAAGCGTGGTCTCTGTGCTCTACAAGAGACACTTCCTGCAAAACAGGATCTGACTACAAAGAACGTTTCCATTGGACTTGCTGGTGAAGACCTGGAGTTTATGATGTATGATGTTGATGATGATGTGTCTTTGTTCCTGGGTCTTGAAGAAAGGCAACAGAGAGAGGCATAGCCTGCTCAACCTGCTGATGAACCTGCATAGAAGGCATTAAGTGATAATCCCCTATCTCTATGTGTATCATCCAACATGAAAGAAGAACATGGAAACCTGTCCTGAAAACAATGATCTATAGTTTGAACCAAAAGAGTCAGTGGTAGAATACTGTGTTTTAGAAATCAGGCCAGGTGTGAGTTTTTCCCAAGCAATATCACTGAAATCATATAATGGGATGCATTTTTCTTTGAAGGGGTCTATGTAATCGTATTCTAGAAAGTATTGTTTTCTGTACTAATGTTTTAATGTGACGGACATAGTGTCTTGGAAGCCATCAACAAAATAAAAAGAAAACCCACTGAATGGGGGAAAATATTTGCCCATACATCTTGATAAGGGGTTAATAACCAAAATTTATAAGGAACTTATACAACCCAACATCAAAGAAACAAACAATCCAGTTACAAAATGGGCAGAGAGCTTGAATAGAAACACAGATGGCCAATAGACATATGAAAAACATGCTCAATGTCACTAATCATCAAATACAAATTAAAACCACAATGAGATATCACTTCACACCCGTCAGAATGGCTACCATTAATAAATCAACACACAGCAAGTGTTGACGAGGACACGAGGAAAAGGGAACCCCTGCGCACTGTTGGTGGAAATGTAGACTTGTATAGCCACTGTGTAAAACAGTATGGAGTTTCCTTAAAATTTAAAAAATAAACTGCCTATGGCCCAGCAATTCCATTTCTGGGAATATATCTTATGAAACCAAAAACACTGATTCAAAGAATATATATGCACCTCTATGTTCATTGCAGCATTACATACAATAGCCAAGATCTAGAAGCAGTCCCAGGGCTCATCAGTAGATGTGTAGATAACAAAGCTGTAATACATTTACACAGTGGAATACTACTTGGCTATAGAAGTGAAGGAAATCTTACCCTCTGCCACAGCATGTATGAATTTGGGGAGCACTATGCTAAGTTAAATAAGCAAGTCAGAAAAAGACAAGTACCATATGATTTCACTCATGTAGAATCTAATAAACAAAATTAACTAACAAGTCAAATAGAGACAGACTCAGAGAGAGCAGGCTGACAGCTGTCTGGGGTAGAGTCTGGCGGCTGGTTTGGGGTGATGGTGAAGAAATTGAGTGAAAAAGGAAATACTCATGTTCATGGAAAACAGTGTGGTGATAATTGAGGGTGGTGGGGGAGGGGAAGGAAGGTATAGGGGATAAATGGTGATGGATGGAGACTTGACATGGGGATTGTGAACACCTAATGCAGTGCAAAGATGGTGTGTTGCAGAATTGTGCACCTGAAACTTGTGTAATTTTGTTAACCAGTGTTATTCCAATAAATTCAGTGAAAAGGAAAGAAAAACAACAGTGTCTTTATGGTTTTAAAGATAACTATGAAATAAAATGGTTTCATCTGCTGCTGAAAAAAAAAAGAAGTGGACCCCTAAGTGATACCACACATCTGGTCCAGGAAAATTACATTCAAGGTTAGTGAGAAAAACTACAAATAAGTTTTCCCAACTATTGTAAGTCTTTTTAAAAGGATATTGGTGAAGAGGAATAGTTCTAGGACAGCAATTTTCAACTGGTGTGCCATAAGAATTTTTAAAATATGCAGTACTACTTAGTCAGGGGCATGGACCTCTTTTCTTATAGATCATCAAATAAAAAAGATGACAACAGTCAACACAATGACAGCCATCCAGTGTGAATGAATCAAGATTATACCTGTTTTTTTTTTTTTGTCAGATCAATAAAAATTTTTTTTTCGTGTGCCACAGAATTTTAGTGTTTATGTGTGCCATGAGATGGAAAAGGTTGAAATTGCTGGTCTAGAACACTGGAGACAGGGAGATGCCCAGAGCCATTATGAATATATCTGACATCTATAGAAAAACATATGTAAAAGCCTTCAAATCAACTGAGATTCAAAATGGGCAGCCCCTGCCCACTGCATTGGCAGGGGTCCAAAGGCCCTGGTCCACCTTCCTCCACTGGCCTTGGGGTCATTTACTGAGAATTAGGAGTTTAAAGATTTTCACAATTTAAAAAGATATTTTCCACTTTTGCACTGTTTACATTTCGGGTGCTACACACCCCCAGAATAGCTTGAAAGAGAAAAGTACGCTGAGAGCAAGTGTCAGTGATGTGGTGGAACAATCAGAGCTCTCGTGCTCTGCTGCTGGTACAACCATTTTGGAAAACAGGCAATGTCTACAAAAGCTGAACATTTGCACCCTAGTAATCAGCTATCCTACTCCTAGATATATACCCAAGAGGAGTGAGTACACAGGTTCATCAATAGAATATTCACAGAAGCTTTATTTATGACAGCCCCAAACTAGAGCAACCCAAATGTTCCTGAACAGGAGGGGGAGTAAATTAAATAGCAGTAGAGTATACAATAGAAAGTTCATGCAGTTTTTTAAAATTATGAATATACCAATAAGTGGATGGATCTCAAATACATTATCCTAAGTGAAAGAAACTGGAGACACAAAAGAATTTATACTGCCTGGTTGGTAGAAGTCAAAACAAAGATTACCACCGGGGGAGTTTCTGAATAGGAAGGAAACTTCTGAGCACTCAAATGTTCCACATCTTGACTGGGTGGTGGTTATACAGACACAAACACATGTAAAAACTCAATGAACTATACAGCTGAGATTAAGATTAATGCACTGCACATTCTTTACTCTAGGTGTGCTACTCCTCAATATAAAAGAAAAAGAAAATTGCGGGAGTTATAATCTGGGCAAAACCTTGGTTCCACCCTAGCAAAGTCTAACCTACTTTATCCATCTCCCCTAAATATGTTTTATTGTGGTAAAATATGCATAACATAAAATTTACCATCTTAACTGAAAGGACAAACCAGCACCACTTGCTACTGTGGTGCCATTTGCCCAGCAGGCATATGACCTTATTAAATGTGACTACCATTTTATTCATCTGAGTTTGTGTCCCCAATACAGGAAATGACTGGAAAACAAGAACAGAACTTTTCCCCTGACATTTCTCCCGGTGAACATCTCCAAAATGCTCACCTATCAACAGCAGAAGCGGCCAACATTTCACAGGGAACACTCCTGAGCTTCCAGAAGCTCTACTGGTCTGTTATTGAGGAAATGTATGTATTCACTTGAAATTTAAACTAAAGATGTCTTCCAAGTGTGCTACTGGTCAAAGATAATAAAAACAAAATAATGGAAATGATGGTCGTACCCAGGATAATAGAATAATCAGCAGCCTTCTGTATAGGGAGGGCACTTTGCCCATATTTACTTTCATCTGAAAGCGCTGGAGTAAGCAAAGCAGCAGCCAGGCCTCCCAGGATGGTGAGGCCCACAGTGGGTTTCTGCCTGAGGTTTCATGGACAGAAAGGGCAGAGCCAGAGCCCCTGGTGCTGCCTGCCCCATCCTGAGTGCCTGCCTAGCTGCTCTGCAAAGCCTGAGGGACAGAGTTGTGCAACAAACAAAAACACCCTCAAAGGGCTCATGTTCTAGCCCCAGGGAGAGGGAACACCCCTAAGCAGGTGTGTGTAAAGCCAGGTGAGGAGGGTGTATGAAGGCCAAGGGTCACTTTCCATAGGTGGTTAGGGATGACATCTGATAGGGGGACAATGAGCCTAGACGTAAAGGGGGAGAAATGGCAGATGTGTGAAATTGGGAGGGATGCTCAGAGGGAGGAATTGGACAGAGAGAGCAGCAAGCATGCTGCTGCAGGAGGACCCTGCGCATCAGAGGGATAGGGCCACTGAGTAGCATGAGACATGCGGCCGGCGCTCAGGCAGCCAGGGCAGAGGGGAGGCTGACACTACCTGAGAAAGAGTAGGGCAGGGTCTCCAAGGCATGACTGCCCACTCCAAGGGCTTTGCCCTTTGTGAATGGAGAGCCCCTAGAGGGTTTTAAGCACCACATAACATGATCTCTGTGTTAAAAGGACCACTCTGGCTTCCGCTGAGATGGAATGTTGGTGCAAACAGAGCGGAAAGACCAGTTGGGAAGCCCATGCAAGGAAGGCAATGGCATAGCCCAGGTGGTCCCAGAGGAGGCAGTGGCAGTTGGTTGGAGTTGACATTTATTTTTAAGGTAGAAGTGATAGCATCTTGCTGATGGGCTATGGGATGTGAGAAAAGACATGTTCAAGGATGGTGCCATGGCTCTGGCCTGAGCAGCTGAAGGGATGCAGCTGCTCTCAACTCAGATGGGAAGACTCAGGAGGAGCAGGTCTGGTGGGGAGTGAGACATGCCTGGGATAGAACCAAGATTCAGTTTTGGATGTGCTATGTTTGAGGTGTCCAGGAGGGGTCCTGGTTAGAGACACAAACATGGATGCAATGAACACATGGTATTCATGGGAATGGATGCTATCACCTACTGTAGAGACAGCGTTGTCCCTCAGGGAGTGTGCTGGAAATTTGTGGGGACATTTTCAGTTGTCACCATGATTGGAGGTGTCACTGATACTTAATAGGTGGGAGGACAAGGAGCCTAGATGTCCTACAATGAATGTGACATTCCTGCATAAAGACTGTCTCACATCCCCAACAATTTTCACCTATTTCATAGACATTCATGTAGGTGAAAAATACTTTGTCACAACCAGAGCCTAGAGTGTTCCCTTCATTACATGTGCAAAAACCATGTACTTTGTGCACAACTTTAAGATTCACTGACCTTTCTAAGAGTGATGAGGGGAGATCGCAGTTGGGTTCTGAGCTTTACCGAGTGTCCAGCAATCCCATCCCTCCCTCAGTGTCCTTCATGGCACCCGATTCACAGACACAAGGACCCTGAACCGGTCTGCACTGCAGCTGCCATCCCACTGTGCTAAGGAGTGTCACAGGTGCTTCCACGCAGTCATGCTGAGCCACATGCAGATGGAAACACAGATCATTTAATTATAAACTAGTGTTCTTTTATAGCTAGGACATTATACTAATTCTTCAAAACCATGTATGTATGTCGGTTATGCTACCTCTGATTTCATTCAGGGCAGTAAACCAGGTGTTGGATATGACACAGTAACTTGAAAAGAGTCGAGGCCCAAGGACTGTGCCTGTGGCCCACCCCAAATTAGAAGCCAAGGCAGGGTGAACAGTGGGCAGTGGAGGCTCCAAGATGCCCTGAGGGAGGAGACGATGGAGAAAGAAGACATTTCCAGCAACAGTGTTCATTCTGCTGACTGTCATGTAAGACAAGGATGGAGAACTGACCACTGGGTTACCAGGGTCATCAGTGACCTGAACTCCCACCTAGTGGGGTGCTGGGGGTGACACTAACAGGAGAGCCCACAGTGTCCAGGGAAGGGGATCTGAACCACTGTGAATCATTGTGCAGGTTTTCTTTCTTGATCCCAGGTGCCCCAGCTTCACCCCCTTGGCTCTGCTCCTATAGGTCAGGACAGGCCTGTTCCCCTGGGGCCCTCCTCGGAGACTCTGTTCTGAGAGGCTACTAGATTTTCTTACTGCCCTCCCCAGTCCTCCTGAGCAGGATGCTGGATGCCCAGCTTCCTGGGCCTAGGTGTTTCAGTTGATACCTTGCTGAGTTGGGACTCAAAAGCCAGTGAGGTTGAAGACTTAGAACTCTTCATGCCAGAAGAGGCAGTGGGAAGGGGCCGTGCACAGTCGATCCCATGGGTCCCAGCTTTGGTGATTGGACTCCAGGCCTTGGCTGCACTCCTCATGTTTGTCAAGTGGGTCTGTCTTGCTGCAGAAGAAATGAAGAAAAAAACACTTGTGTCTACAACTTGAACCTGCTAAGTAACATCACAGAGCTTTACTCAGGTACCACATTCACCATTTTTATTGTGTATAACCAGTGTGTTTGCCTGGGCTGCAAAGCAGCTCTCATTCTAAGGTGTCGCTCTTGCATGAGGTTAATCTTCCAGCTTCACAACAGCGGCTGCCAAGCTATAAAGACATATGTGCAACATCACTGATGTTCAGACATTACTTTTCAGCATATGATGGCTTCTTCTTAGTCAGGGACACCTAATACAATGTTACTATATACCCATACACTACCTATATTTCCCCATGTGAAACAAGCCAGCTTGAGCCAAGACATACCATGTCCATAAGCCTTGCAGCTTTAGGGCTGACCATGGCACAACCTATCTACTTTTTAAATAGACATAAACAAATTACTTGAAAATTGGGTTTCACAGAAGCATAGCTTTTCTCGTTTTGGACAAACATGGATAACATTTACAAATTATTAGAGCATACTTTAATTGGTCAGACCTGACATTGTAGGACAGAGTTTCTGCTCTAACTAAAATATTTTATGAAATCAAAATTGTTCAAAGTAGCAGCATGCAGTTAAAGACCTAAGGGGGAAATCAACATACAAAGAGACGTGGGAAGCAGGAGAGGTCCTGCAATCAGCAATCAGTGTTGCCACTTCCGGGCGAGGTGTGGCTGGCCATCTCTGCACCTCTCTGAGCCTATTTCTTCCATCAGTTGCACCACGGGACTGAATGAAATGCCTTCTAGGATCTCATCCAGCTCCAATCCCAACCCTGCCCGTCCCCACAGACTCTAATTACCAGGAGTGCGAGACAGAACACTAAAACTGCAGATAATGCTCCATCCTTTCAAAGAAACAAATTTTAAAATGCATTGTAAAAAACACCAAAAGGTGATGGATAATTCCAGTGGCCACACTCACAGGACCCAAGGGGTCTAATTAACTGTCCCTAGGGGATGACAGCTGGTGTTAGGCCTCTTTCCCCCTTCGATGCATCCCAGTACACCCCACAGCCCTCCATGAGAACAGCAACAGACCACCTCCCCAGCCTTACTCAGGCTGTGACCTCCTCCAGTTCTCTACTTTTCCTGGCCAAAGGAGACCATTTCAACAGACAGAGTCTCTTAGCCAGGGCCACCCTGTTCCTATTCACACATTTTTTTTCACATCAAATCAATTCAGTATATTTCCTGACACCAGTCATTCCACACAGAACAGCAGGGTACACTGGGGAGAAGCATGGTCTGGGATGGTTGTGAAATTGGATAGATAACACAGAGGAGTCCGGTACAGAACCATTCAGGACACTCACAAGCTTGCAGTGGGAATCTAGTAAGTTTCTCCATCAACATTATTTTTTAGTGAAAAGTCACTACAATTAAAATATAGTTCCACACCAGTCAGAACGGCCATCATAAACAAAGCAACAAACAAGTGTTGGAGAGGTTGTGGAGAAGAGGGGACCCTAATCCATTGTTGGTGGGATTGCAGACTGGTACAACCATTATGGAAAACAGTATGGAATTTTCTAAGAAAACTAAAAATGGACCTGCCTTTTGATCCAGCAATTCCACTGCTGGGATTATATCCTAAGAACCCTAAAACACCAATTCAAAAGAACCTATGCACCCCAATGTTCATAGCAGCACAATTTACAATAGCCAAGAGCTAGAAGCAACCTAGGTGCCTGTCAGTAAATGAATGGATCAAAAAATTATGGTACATATACACAATGGAATTTTATGCAGCAGACAGAAAGAAGGAGCTCCTACCCTTTGCAACAGCATGGATAGAACTGGAAAGCATTATGCTGAGTGAAATAAGCCAGGCGGTGAAACACAAATACCATATGATCTCACCTTTAACAGAACCTAAACAACAAAACAAACAAGCAAGCAAAATATAACCAAAGACTGTGAAATAGAGAACAGGCTGACAGTGACCAGAGGGGAGAAAGAGGGAATTTCAGGGGAAAAGGGGAGGGATTCACGGGAACGAGTATGGAGGACACATGGACAAAAACTGGGGTGGGGGTGGAAATGGGAGGGAGGTGGGGAGCACTGGGGGGGGGTGGGCCGGGATGAGAGTAAAAAACAGAAAACTGTACTTGAACAATAATTAAATAATTTTTTAAAAAAGTTCCAAAGATACTGTGGAAAGACAGCTGTGTTTGCCCAAGCTATAACTGAGTATACTAAAAATTTGCAGTTGGTTCATTCATTGTTTTATAACAAATTCTGAAGCCAGCTTTACATTTCAAAATATAAAAACATTAGTGCTTGATTTCACAGGTGTCCATTTTTAATGAAAAAAATTTGAGTGTGAATCCAAATGATTTTGAAGTTTTCGAGTTCCACTGGCTCATAAAAGGTGTCCTTGTGCTTCCAGATCCACATCCACATTATGTCCTTCCTTCCCAGTAATTTTCCTTCCACCTCATGTTTTCCCCTTCTATGATTATGATTCTCATTCAGGTCTTCATCATGCTACTCCACATTGGTAGATTTGTCTCTGTTCCTTTACATATTGAGACTATCAATTACACATCTGCAAAAATATTCTTTCCTGGACACTGCTTCTATCACATTATCCCATTGGTAAAAAACTTCAGTCTTGTTGGGACCCATATTTTAATTGTTCACTCATTTATCTGTTTATTTAACAAATATGTACTGAGCGTTTACTATGTATTAGGCACTCCTCTAAGCACTGAAAATACAACCACAAACGACAGACAAAATAAAACCAGTCCTCTCATGAAGCTTATATTTACTCACCAGAATCTAGCAGACCCTTCACTCTCTACCATCTATACCTAATTGGATCCTGTCAGCCTTTTCCTCTTCTGTTTTTCCCATGTCTCCCAGTTTCTTCCTCACCAAGCAGCGACCTAGTTACTCTCCAACACAGATTCTCTGAGCCAAGTAGACTCTGCCTTCTTACCTCACTCCTGCTTGCCAACACTCTTCACACTCTAATAAGAACAAGCACCTTTGCTGGTCCTCACCCTTGGAGTATCATCTCTCTTCTCATTCTCCAAATTTTGACTCATAGAGTGTAAAGAATATTTTCCTTTCTGACAAATTCCTTCACCAGATTTTCCCCGTACTATTCTTATGTACACTTGATGGCAAATCCCTTTAAGTATTCAGGAGCTGTTTCATAGGGTTAAACTTGCTGCCTTTGGCTAAATAGATGATTACAAAAATTCCATGGTCTAAGCAAGTCAGTGAGGTACAGCACAGAGAGTTCAGGACCAGCCGTTGGGTGATGGGGTTTCTCTTCTGCCTGTTACCAACCACTTAGTGTATAATCTGGAGCACCTTGAGCACATCCCTTAACTGCCTCAGACTCAGCACTCTCCCTCACTGAAATAAGGAGGTCTCACCAGAAACATGGGTGGTCTATTCAACTTCTCTTGCCATCCTTCAAGTCTATTACTTTTCATTCTGAAATCACTTTTTTATAGCCAATTTTTAAAATTGAATTTATTGAGATGACATTGATTAATAAAATGATATATGTTTCAGGTGCACAATTCTACAACACATCATCTGTACACTGTATTGTGTGTTCACAATACAGAGGCTTGACCTGGGGTCAAATCTGTTTCCATGACCATTTATCTCCCCTTTACCCTCTCCTACCTCCTCCGCCCCACTTTCCTTCTGGTTATCATCACCAAACTGTTGTCTGTGACCATGATTTTTTCTGCCTAATCCCTTCACTTTTTTCATCCAGCTCCCCCACAACCACCCTCCTCTCTGATAGCTGTCAGTCTGTTCTCTGTATCTATGAGTCTGTTTCTATTTTGTTTGTTAGTTTATTTTGTTCATTAGATTCCACATATAAGTGAAATCATATGGTACTTGTCTTACTCTGACTGGCTTATTTCATTAGCATAATGGTCTCTAGGTCTACTCATACTGTTGCAAAAGGCAAGATTTTCTTCTTTTTTACAGCTAAGTAGTATTGCACTGTATAAATGTATCACAGCTTTTTTTATCCACTCATCTACTGATGGACACTGGGGCTGTTTCCAATCTTGGCTATTGCAAATAACACTAAAATGAATATAGGGGTGCATATAGTCTTTTAAAAATCAATGTTCACTAGGGGGATGGGCTGGGATGGGAGTAAAAGACAGAAAACTGTACTTGAACAATAAATAAAAAATGCTTAAAAAAAAAAGAAAACTATAGATAGTAAAAAAAAAATCAGTGTTTTGGGTTTCTTTGGATATATTCCCAGAAGTGGAATTGCTGGGTTATAAGGCAGCTCCATTTTTAATTTTTTGTGAAACTCTACACCGCTTTCCACAGTGGCTGCACCTATCTGCATTTTCACTAACAGCGGATGAGGGTTTCTTCTTCTCCGCATCCTCACCAATATTTGTTGTTTGTTGATTTATTGATGATGGCCATTCTGACAGGTGTGAAGAGGTGATATCTCATAGTGGTTTTAATTTGCTTCTGATAATTAGTGACATTAAGCATCTTTTCATATGTCTACCAGCCATCTCTATGTCTTCTTTGGAGAAATGTCTATTCAGGTCTTTTGCCCATTTTTAATTGGATAGGGGTCTTTTTGGTGTTTAATTTTCTAAGTTCTTTATAAATTTTGAATATTAACCCCTTATCAGAGGTATAATTGGTGAACATGTTCTCTCATTTAGTGGGTTGTCCTTTCATTCTGTTGATAGTTTTCTTTGCTATGGAAAAAGTTTTAGTTTGGTGTAGTCCTATTTGTTTATTTTTTCTTTTGCTTCCCATTCCTGAGAAGTTATATCAGAAAATTTGCTATGAGAAATGTCCTAGATTTTACTGCCTTTGTTTTCTTCCAGAATTTTTATGTTTTTGAGTCTAAAATTTAAGTTTTTAATCCATTTTTAAAAATCTTCACCTGAGGATATGCTTATTGAGAGAGGGGGAGAGAGAGAAAGGAAGAGAAACATCAAT